CCAAAAAAAAAAAAAAAAAAAACCCAAACCTCCCTCAAAGTATTAACAGCAGATTAAATCATGCAGAAGAATGAGTCTTTGACATCAATGACAAAACTTTTGACAATCCAAGCAACCAAAAACAATGGAAACATAACCATTAAAAATGAAGTCAACATACAGGAAATTCTAAATACTATTGAACACTCAACTATCCAAATAATATGAATACCTTTACAGAAGGTGAAATATCTGATAAAGGAGTAGAAAACCTATTCAATGAAACACTTGCTGCAAACTGTCCAAAACTAGAGAAACATTCAGACATCCAGGTTTGAGAAATACAAAGAATGCCAAATAGAATCAACATAAGAAGTTCCTCTCTACAGCACATCAGAGCTGGATTTGTAAAAATCAAAGACCATATTCTAAAAATAATGAGAGAGAAATATCCAGTTACTTACAAAGGCTATCCTATTAGGTGAACATCAGCCCTCTCAGCTGAAACAATGCAAGCAAGGAAATAATGGGGAGACAAATTTGAAACATTAGAAGAAAAATTATTTCAACCAAGAATACTATACTTGGCAAGGTTATCCTTCAAATGGTAAGAACAAATGAAAATCATTCTCAGAAAAACAAAAACTGAAAGAATTTACCAATGCTAGACTAGGTCTTTAAGAAGTACTGAAAGAGTACTATGTCAGGAAAATGAAGGACAAACAGAAATAAGAGAACACAAAACAACTAAGAAAATGGCTAACAAAATGACAAGGATGAGCCTGCAATTACTGATAATAACTTTGAATGTTAATGGATTAAATTCTCCAACTAGAGACAAGGACTGTCTGAATGAGTAAAACAGCAGAAGTGCTCAATATGCTGCTCACTGATAAACACATGCACAGACTGTAAATTAGTACAGTCACTGTGGAGAATGATATGGAGCTTCCTCGAATGCTGGGGACCAGCCTCAGCGTGGGTGGGTTATCTTGATGAAGGCGGCGAAGGTGAACAGAAGACAAAGGCCTCGGTGCCTTTTCATGCACGTCCTATGCCGGACATCCCTCAAAGCGCTCTCTGAGGAGTGACAACTGCTAAGAATCATCGTGCGTTTTTATTGAAAATGTGTTACATGCAAGTAAAGGGAGAGGGACTACGTGTTTCAATTATTAGCTCATAAAGTTTTAACAATAGAGAACATA